AACAATCATTTTGACAATGCCTTTTTTTTTAGATTTGCAATATGTTTTTACTTCCTTGGTACATTTTATTTTCTCCCTTGTCTGATATCATACTACTGTGAACTGTATAGAAAAGGGAGTTTCGTTTCGAAAACAGATAAGTGGATATATTTAAACATTGATATTGAAGTGTTTAAAAAAAAAATGTATTCAAAAATTAAAAAAATAATTTTGAAATTAAAAAAAAAAAAAAAAAAATAAAAAAAAAAATAAAAATAAAAAAAATAAAAAAAAAATTGAGAAACATAAATTAAAATTAAGACACATTTAATTTGAAGTTAAAAAAATAGAAATCAAAATTAAACCTTATTTCTTTTATTCGAGCGTCCTTTATAAATATGTTGTAGACGAAACGCGCGTCTGGCGTACAAACTTCAATCCTGGTATATATTATGAGTTAATTTACAACCACTGGGTCGATGCCACTGTTGGTGGAGTTTTCTTCCCCGAGGGTTTCACCAGCCCAGTAGTCAGCACTTCTGTGTTGACATGAACTATCATTGATATGGTCATAATTAGAAATGAACTGTTTACAAAACTTTGATTTTTCTCGAAATACTAAGAAATTTCTACCCATGGAATAGACTACCTTATCTGTATTTGGCGCGTCAATGCTCCTCAATTTTATTTTATTTGGCCGTTTTAAATTCTTTGATTCGAGCGTCACTATTGATTTTTTTAAATGAAACGCGCGTCTGACGTACAAAATTTCAATCCTGGTATCTATAATGAGTTATTTAAACTGCTTCAATCAAGTCTATTATAATATCTGATAAGGTGTGTACACAAAACTTTATTTCCGTTCCTAAATGAGGCCCTGGTGGTGAATGGTATGGATGGACAAGATATTGTCACTGTACAAAAATATCACTTTGTATATACATTTAGGGAAAACAGATCAGGTTTTCGGAAACAATACTAACAACACATGCTAGATGATATAACCAATTTCAGTATGAAAAAGTTTTTTTGAATATTTTTAGTATTTCATTGTTGTAACATATATGATTTAGCTGTATTTATTATTATTATTTATATTGTAACTACTATATAATATACGGATGTTTAAGAGAAGACAGCCCGGTTCTTCTGATATTAACAAACAAGGATCTTGCACTTGAATACATAATTGGTGTATTGCTGGAGATACAAGTACTTGAATAGTGTTGTTTTACGAATTTTTACCAAACGCTTATGAACAGCGGTATGTTACTGTTGCATTTATTTAAAGACTGTCATACAAGTGAGAGATTTAGTTAGCTATAAAACCGGTTTTAATCCACCATTTTCTACATAAGTAAATGCCTGTACCAAATCAGGAATATGACAGTTGTTTTCAATTCGTTTGATGTGCTTGAGCTTTTGATTTTGCCATTTGATAAGAGACTTTCCGTTTTGAATTTTCCTTGGAGTTCGGTTTTTTTGTTATTTTACTTTTTATAGCAAATTTGTCGGTTGAACATTCAAATTTGAATTTGACAGTTAAGAACTTAATCTTAACCCCTACATAATAATGAATTCAAAGTATTTTATGATACCTAATTATTCCTTTATGACCCCTAGAATGATCTTAAGTAACTACCACTTCAATGAGGTTAATTTGAAAATAAAAATATAAACATTAGCTGACATGTTATAATATAGATAATAGATTTCAGCAGGAATAGTATAGCACATCTGGATGTTTGAATAAATATTGTCACTTTATTTTTAACACGTACTGGTTTATTGTAGAGCTGATTCCCACCAATCAATCATTATTGATTGATTTATTGATTTATTGATTGGTGTAAAACACCTCTTTCAGCACTATTGCGCTATTTCATGGATGTTAGTTTTTTTTCTGGGAAGGAAGCAAGAGTGCCCGCAAAGAACCATTGACCTTCGGTAGGAAAAGAGAATATCCTAATTAAGATTGGAGTCGAGCGTACCTGCCACATGCGGGATTCGAACTCACAACCTCAATGTTGATAGGCTAGTGATATAGTACTACTTTTCTCTTTATACTTAATCTACTCGGCTACCGAGGCCCATACATTTGGTAGATATATCAAGGACATACACCGTCTACAATCTTCCATCTGATGCTTTAAAGGTATTGAATGCAGGCTGATAAAAAGATAAAAAAAAAAAAAACCATACAAAGTGATACCCCGCACTCCACTCTTAAGTAACTGTATTATAACAAAGTCCATGTAGGACTTTCTTTGAGATATAATTGTGTCTGGGAGACACAAATTATGCCTCCGCAGATGCAAAGTGATATTTTAAAATACACGAAGTTGAGCATGGGAACACATAGGTCTATGGTTCACTGTAGGAGGAGTTATCTGGAAACGCTATTCACCTCTTATGCAAGTAAATACTCCAAAAATGACAAAGTTCAACTATCTCCCAAAAGAGCATATATTAATAAAAATCAAAACCCTGATCACATGCACACTTTCAATATATGTACAAAAAGACAGCAAAGTGAAAACTTCCTAGCATTCAAACTGTAGGGGGAGTTATGCGGAATACCTATAACGTTATGCACATCTTATACTCCAAAAATGACAAAGTTCAACTATCTCCCAAAAGAGCAAATATTAATAAAAATCAAAATCTTGACCACATGCACAGCTTCAATATATGTACAAACAGACAGCAAAGTGAAAACTTCCTAGCATTCAAACTGTAGGATGAGTTATCTGGAAACGCTATGAACCTGTTACGCAAGTAAATACTCCTAAAATGACAAATTTCAAATATCTCCTAAAAGAGCAAATAGTAATAAAAATCAAAACCTTGACCACATGCACACCTTCAATATATGTACAAACAGACAGCAAATTGAAAAGTTCCTAGCATTTAAACTGTAGGATGAGTTATCTGGAAACGCTATGAACCTGTTACGCAAGTAAATACTCCAAAAATGACAAAAAATGACAAAGTTCAAATATCTCCCAAAAGAGCAAATATTAAAAAAAATCAAAACCCTGACCACATGCACACATTAATATGTACAAACAGACAGCAACGTGAAAACTTCCTATCATTCAGACTGTGGGAGGAGTTATCTGAAATAACTATAAACCCATGATAGGACGGACGGACGGACAGAAGGACGGACAGACAGGGGTAAAACAATATGCCCTCCGGGGGCATTAAAAAAGATAATTTGAATGTATATACCATAACATTCAATACGCGTGTCGTATATTTCTGAACATTGTCCAACGATTTGCAGGCAAATAAACAACAATACATGTAATTGATTATACATTAACAACCAGTGGGAAATATATTCCATAACATCCCCCCCACCCCAAAAAATAAAAGATCCGGAGTTGTATTAACCGGGAACATACATTTGAGTAATGTACAATATGCAGATGACCCGCCCGTTATTGTAATAGCCAAAGGAATAGTAAATACATAAACTGTATAAACTGTATAAGAGAGGCGTGGGATACCAAAGGCACATTCAAGTTTAATAGTCGAAAATAAACTGACAACACCATAGCTAAAAAAGAAAAAGACAAACAGACAAACAACAGTACACAAAACACAACATAGAAAACCAAAGACTGAGCAACACGAAGCCCACGAAAAACTGGGGGTTTTATTTATTTTTTCTTTTTGCTATTTATAATAACAAAAACGCAAAATCGGGGATTCTTATTGTTGAAACAGCTCAATGAGAAACTAAATGTATAGCAACAATAACTTTGCAACATATTACATTTATTTTACATCATTTGTATCGGATTGTTAAGGCTAAGTACGTTGAGGTTGATCATTAATTCTTTCAGCTATCAGGTGGCATTATTTACATCATGTAATAATCGATAAAGAAGTAGAAAAGATAATTGTAGGTATGCACTCACTGAAAGGTCTCGCCTGGTTTATTGAGATTCGAACAGCGGTTAACTACTATTGCCTAAATGTACTGATTATGATTAAACTTTATGTTGATCAATTCTTACTACATGTCTAGATGGTAGGTCCTTCATTTCTGTAAATTAAATATGTAGGTAATTTTTCTCTATTCTTTATATTTTTTTGTCCATTATTCTCTATTCTTTATATTTTTTTGTCCATTATTCTCTATTCTTTATATTTTAGCAACCCATTATTCTGTAAACCCCATGAAGACCCTCATAAAACTTCTGTCCATTATTGGATTGATTGTTTGATTGTAATGGAATGTTAAAGTTTGAAGAAAAAAAATGTTTTAAATGCCTAAGTATATCTTACTACACGTCGTTTAGAAAATATATACCAGCTTGATTTTTTATAGTTGTTATTTAAAATATATTCAGTGGAAAGTGCTTTTCCTCTTATGTAACGTTATATGTGAGATTACCCATTTAGGATGAATGTATGGTGCTTCGACCTCAAAGTGGCTTAATGTCCGACAGGAAGACTTAACTCAATTAAAATAAGAATAATTGACCAATCAAACATTGTAATAAATGACAGCAATCCAACATTTATAGATTAACTCAAGACTGAGGTAATAGAATTATAAAACGGTCAAGGAATCATATGCATAATAACAAAAATATGCGCACGCATAAACAACAGAAAGATAAAAACAAAGCCTGTTAAATACAGTAATAACAGAATGATAGCTGATGCATTCGAATAATTGAACATAATTTACCTTGCAAAATAAATTGCATATTAATTAATTTACTTTATATTGACTATAATTTTCTTCTTTGTAGGTCTTATTTACAAAAGGACTACTGATCATCTATTACATACGAACTAAATGTTTCGCGGAATGTGATCCACAAAAATGTGCGTGTCTTACAAAATTGTGCATTGACCATACTATTCATATATCTTTTTTTTAAATAGATTTGTGTCTTTATACAATAGTTGATAATTCGGTTAGATTTAGAATGTACACTCGGTCATACTTACTTTTTATCATGAAGAATAGATAATATTTCTTTAATATAACTCAATTACAGATCTTTTACCGATACATTTCATTATACAATTTTTTTAATTATCGATGCGTTTGCAAGATTAAATAGTCAACATATTTCATTGCATTAATTGGTTAAAATTAACAGTTTACACGAACGTTACGCTGTGTTATTTATATTGCTTAGTGTTGTGACTTAAATTAAAAGATCTATGGACAGTGAAAAAACGTAAGCACTATTTACTCTTAAAGTTCAAGGAACGCAAGTAAAGTGCAACTGTCAGAGGATAATCGTTAATCGATCCTGCATTTTGACTTTTTTGGGGCTTAAAAACCAAGGATATTCAGGAAGGAATTAAATATTTTCTGGACATTGTTTCTTTTAAAAAAAAACTGTGCAGTTTAATTTGGCGAAAGGCTTATTTTGATGTCACCAAGTAGTACCGATCTGCAACAACCAATTTTATCAATGGATATCCTTGCAATTACTGCCATTGTTTTACTGATTATATACATATATAGGTAAGAGCATATTTGTTTAAAAAAAAATTGAAGCAATGACATTTTACTGGATTAGGACATTGAACTTCTCAACAGACATATCGCATGCTTTTTAGTCAAATTCATATTATAAAGCTGAGTTTTTTCTGCATAAAAATAATAGAAATTAAGGATATACAGTATGATTGCGAAGCCTATTCATTGCCAAATATGTATTCATCAAAGATCAAAGCATGGCAAATCTGAAACTTTATAGATGTTATGGTCAGATAACAGAATAATATGATCAGTAAATATACCAAGTGTGTCATATCCTCTATTTTGACTAAGGGAGCTACAATTTGATTTTTATGGGGAAGGGGGGGGGGGGGGGGGGGGGTCTAGGATGAAAAATGTTGTCCTGCCTTTTTATTTTTCCCTCTATTCGGTCCTGCCTTTTTATTTTTCACTCTATTCGATCCTGCCTTTTATTTTTTAATTTATCCTGACTTTTTTATTTAACTAAATTGTCATCCTGCCTTTTTATTTGCAAATAATCTCATCCTGCCTTTCTTTTTAACTCAAAACTCCTGTCCTGCCTATTTTTTTCAAATTTCATCCTAGCCCCCCATAAAAATCAAATGGTAGCTCCCTAAGTAGATTAGCATGACGGGTGATGCATGCATAGCAGGATACATTTGCCTGATACATTAATCTGCAATTTACATCTTGGTATCATGGCGATACAAGAACATATAAACAAGTAAACAGGAAATTCAAATAAATGAGAAACAAACCACTTTATTGCGTGCGTTTGAAGCCTTTTTCTTGATTTATGTAAGAACAACAAACACACACATACACATAACAATAAAACACCTCACGTGATCACATTGAAAAAATTATATCTTTGAACGTACAGTTAAATTGAACTTTTTGGAGTATAATATTATTGATTGATTAATTGTTGTTTTGCTTAAGTGTAGTGAGCAGATATAAGAAGATGTGGTATGGGTGCCAATGAGACAACTCTCCATCCAAGTCACAATTTGTAAAAGTAAACCATTATAGGTCAAAGTTCGGCCTTCAACACGGAGCCTTGGCTCACATCGAACAGCATGATATAAAGGGCACCAAAAATGACTAGTGTTAAACCATGAGGACTACTTATCGTTTGGAATATCTTGGCATTGATTGTTATAACCAATATGTACATGATCGTGTACCATTCATTTAGTTCAATCTGGTCGACTTAATAATAAAAACAATACTTGACTATTTGTCAGAGAAATACATTTTAAAGGGATTCATTCGAGTTATACAACTGTTATTTATCACGAAAGAAAGAGATCAAGCATGTTTCCACAGATCAAAACGTTATTTCAATTTAAAAGGTTAAGATAATAATTATCCATGAAGCCATAACCATTTAGCAATTAAATATTCATAGATGAAATTAAAGTTTTAAAAATGTCAGCAAACAGTATATATAAATTTTGTATGATTTACTTTACAGGAAAATGCACAGGACTTATAGTATATTTCAGACGCTTAAAATTCCCGGACCAAAACCGGTATGGATTCTGGGAAACATTCATGAATTTAAAGAAGAGGTAAATTGAACTGTTAGTAGTACTTCAAATTGTATAATTATCAGTGAAATATTATTAACAGTACCTATTTTACTGAACAAATTGTGCATTGTGCCAATTAATGTCACGTCCGTAATTCTGGAGGCTAAAATATTTAAAAAGCAAAAACTTATTAAAAATATGAAGAATTTATTAAATACAAACAGACAAAAGCCGCGCAAAGAATCAAGGACCGTTAGAATCCCCTCAATAATGTAGGTTTTATTAAAACCGCGGGAAATTTGTCATGAAAAGACTATATCCACGTGTGCTGAATCGTTCCGAATGTTTACAAACAAATAAATGGTATATATCTCGTTACATCTGCTCTAATCCATCTATTGTAATACGTAAAATCTTCTTAACCTACTCTGTTATAACTTATTTTATGAGGTCAAGGACATGATACGCCCCAAAGCTTTGTATTCAATACAATAATTGGATTTTAGATACGTCTGTTTATATTTCAAAGATATCTCATCTTAATTGACTATTAGCACGCGATAAGTCTGTAGTGCATTACGTGCATTGCAACTTAAATAGTTATTTGCCTTACTCGTAAGACAAATTAGAATAAACCTATTTATAAAGGGTCCTGAAAAACTTTAAAGAATTCGAAAAATGACGATTATCATTTGATATAATAATAAAATCAGGAGACAAACAAAGGATGAGAAAACAACGCAAAAAGTCAACTATAAACTCGATGGAGGCACCATGAAAATTTATAGAGTGTTAAATTTTTACTGCATCGGGTCGATACCGCTTCTGGCTCACTTTGGTACTGACATGATTTGTAATCAATCTTTCTAAAATTGTTCGTTTATGAATTTATAATTTTTTTAGAAACTAAGGTTTCACATCCCTCAGGTAAAGCTGACCTTAGATAGATTTGACTATTCAGGTCTTTTCTGGTCATATAGCTCTTCAATTGTTTTGGTTCTTATATACTATTGGCTTTCACATGTTCGGCTTTGAACGTTACGGATCATGATGAAGGTAAATTCAGAATAGCGCTTCTGATGCATGAACATCATAAAGTAATGTTTCATTTTTTTTTAACGAACCGAACTTCCCTTTTGATAATTTTTAGAAGTGTAAACAGTCTCTATTCCACCAGTATGAACTGTAGAGTTTGATAAACAATCTTGATTATCAAAGGCGAAGGAACCTTTTGTATTGATATCGAGCCGATAAATGCATTAACTATTTGGAATGATCATGTTTATAGAAAGATAAGAGTTAAAGATCAATAAGAAAGACAGCATCCCAACGATACAAATAACCAAGATACATTTAGAGGTCAACATACGGTATTAAAAACGACAGGTTTTTACGCAAAATGTCAAGCTCTAGGCCGTTTCAATAGTAGGAAACCTGTGAATACATTGAACATAGACCATTAACGATCTATTAACAATAGCAAGTGCCCGACATCAATTATTTATTAAGTTTTATCTTAAGACATCAAGGTATGAGCTTCATGGATTTAAACAGGAGTATACATATGTTGCAACACCCGCACCCGTCGGTGTGTTATACGAAAAGAAAACCCTTAAAGTATGCATTATCTATAACATAATTGCGAATTTGCCTCTCAAATTTCAGGACAAACTGTCAATGTTTAAAGTCTGGAGAAAAAAATATGGTGATGTTTACGGGTAAGTATCCTTTTAATGCAGGAACAGGAGAGTGAAAGCAATTTTAAAAAAATATTTCATGCCGGCTTACATTTATATTTATATTTAAAAAATCTTACTTTATTTACGAAAATTGTCTCTCAACAAATTCGTATCATCGTCTGTTTATGTTTATGTATTTTCAACAAGTATAATGCTACGAAATAGATTTATTTGTTTTTTCAAATATTTCCTTTGTCAGTATTTTTTTTATGAATTGTGAAATGGGTTTGCTCATTGTTGAAGGCTGTACAGTCACCTATTAATGTTAATTTCTATGTCATTTGTTCTCTGGGGATAGTTGTCTCATTGGCAGTCATACCACATCCTTTTTTATAACGTAGTCTTAACAATATGAGTAGCTAAAACGCAGATATTTGAAACACAATATTCTACCTAATGACCTAATAGTATACAGCCAGACAAAAGAAATTATAGAATATATGATATAATGAAATACTTAATAGCATTATATATTCATTAGATCCAGTGTTGTTTAAATCAGGATATTCACAATCAGTTCGGTCGTTGAACTTGGCAGGTACAATATTATTGGGTTAATAAGTCATTATATCTACTTAGTTATGAGTTATAAATAGATAAACATTAACTCAGATTTTCCCAACAGAGATATTGCAAGGAATCAACTGTTTGACATAGTACATGTAGTATGAAGCTATTGAGCTCTGTCTTGGTCTCTGAGCTCAGTTGTTGATGAACCTGACTATTGTGACTCTCATCTGATAGTCTACAAAAATCAATATGCATAAATGGTACTAATATAGAATAAAATTATTTCATGCATGTGTGGTACATATACAATAAGTTTTTCACATAATGATTTTGTAGGTTCTACGAAGGATTCAAACCTAGTGTTGTTGTTTGCGATCCTGAAATGTCAAGACTAATTCTGGTGAAACACTTTGAAAAGTTTCATATAAGACCAGTATGTATTTAAATATGTAGTTTGATATATGTATTAACAAACTTCAACCACACAGCAATACAATGACGTGAAACATACACTTTTCTTGATCGGAATACTAATGTAGTAAAAACAATGATGGAGGTTTGCATTTAAATTTTTGGAATTTGTACAATCAAAAATTGTTTGAAAATTTCCATTCTAACAAAAATGTTGAATTTCCATTTACATTCAAATATAATATGTTTAACTTACATGGCAAATACTAAGGACATAAATTAAATTAGGACGACAGTAATTTACCGATGTTCAAATCTCGTTAATCGATTAGGAAGAGACAAATCAAGGTAACAAACAAAATCAGGAGATTCACCTGAATTTCAAAGGGAGCGACACAGGATACATCTACAGGAAAAGCGTCTCCTATTATGCATGCATGATCCGCATTACAAATGGACTCATTTATGATACTGATTTCACTGAACGTGACACGCGTTATTTTTCTCCTAGATGTCCTTAATAAAGAACCTTCGTAATTAATACAATCACCGTATTTACAAACTGAAAATTTGAGTAAAACATTTATGATTTTGATCATGTAAATACAAAAGCATCCATAACCGGACGCGTGGTATCCTCTTGAAGATAATTCTATTGTAGTTTCTGCTGGAAGTTCTACTGTCGGAAATGTAATTCATCTTAGTGACACCAGGCACCAGGACATTTCGACAGAAACACCAAGTTAACACGACAATACGGTCATTCCGATTCAAATGCAAAATAACATAATCAAGAAAAAATTGCGTTTTAATTATTTTTTAGGTAAAAATTTTGTAAACAGTACATTCCTTAAATAAATATTCACTTAATACATTTCGTGAGTCCGAAACGCCTTAATTGATTGTAGTTCATCAAGAATGATCACGCCTAATTATTTGAAAGCCTGTGATGTATCAATACTTAGAGATGTCAGGAAGAGACAGAAAAGAAACAAATATAATTGTAATATTTATAAAGTCAATTATGTCTGAGAGAAATGGAACCTTAATCTTTTTTTAAAATAATTTCTTAATTTCTAACGGGGAGAGTTTTAGAAGTGTGTGTTTTAAATCACTTACTACTGAAAAAATGTATAACACAAATAACGAACTCCAAGGTAAATTGAAAAATGGAAAGTCAATTTAAAATGCTGGACCATATCAAACAACGGAACAACTGGTAAACAAAATGTAATTTTTCTGACTCGGTACAGACATTTTCCGACCTAAATTGTGGGTAAAATGGATGATAAACTCGGGTAATAAAAGGCCACCAGCAGTGATATTGATCAAGTGCTAATTACAAAAATACCAATTTTAAAATGTCGTCCGTTCGACCGATCTCGACTGACGTCAACGATACGTAAACACTGGACGTTTAATTGGCTATATGTGTGGCTTTCAGTACTTATATCGAGTGTTTCTTGATCCCTTTTGATCGTGGGGCCCTTTCATAATGAGTGTCGTGGTATTTAATGTTATATATATATATATATAAACATGTATATATATTAGTCTAAATTGAAAACAACGCTCAAACCTATGATTGCGTTGGATAAAAACCGCAATTTTTATACGTGTGCATGCAAAACAAATTTCTTGGTAGAGGGATCTAAATACAGCACAAACAACATTTTCCAAAAGATCAAAAAAGTGAAAAAGTATATTTAAAAAAAACCGCATTTGACTAACAGGTTGAACAACGGATGTTCTTAAATCCTGCTGACTGCCATTGGCGATTGCCAAATAAAAGGATCACAAGATGTAACAAAATGGATCTTTATTATTAATTTAATACCAAACAGAAAACAATAAACTTGCGGAAAAGATGGTATACCGCAAACATGAGGTGCAAAAATTAGTACACCATATCCAGATTTGGACAATTAATGTCTCTTCGGTGATGTTAGGAATCGAAACGGTATTGGAAGGCCATATAATTTACCTCAATTTAGGATAGACTCTTGAATTTTGAAGAGTCGAAATAGGATGAACGGATCATATAAACCCGAAGGTACATATAATACAAGCCCAAACGATAAAATATAAATAAGTCTAAATTGAAAACAACGTTCAAACCTATGATTGCGTTGGATAAAAACTGCAATTTTTATACGTGTGCATGCAAAACAAATTTATTGGTAGAGGGATCTAAATACAGCACAAACAGCATTTTCCAAAAGACCAATAATGAAAAAGTATATTTAAACAAAACGCATTTGACTAACAGGTCGTACAACGGATGTTCTTAAATCCTGCTGACTGCCATTGGTGATTGCCAAATAAACGGGTCACAAGATGTAACAAAATGGATCTTTATTATTAATTTAATACCAAACAAAAAACAATAAACTTGTGGAACAGATGGTATACCGCAAACATGAGGTGCAAAATTGTGTACACCATATCCGGATTTGGACAATTAATGCCTCTTCAGTGATTTTAGGAATCGAAACGGTATTTGGAAGGCCATATAATTTATCTCAATTTAGGATAGATTCTTGAATTTTGAAGAGTCGAAATAGGATGAACGGATCATATAAACCCGAAGGCAAATATTATACAAGCCCAAACGACAAATTAATTGTGTTAAGCATTTCAAACTGTTTTTTTGACGTCTGATTTTCGTTATGGCGCTATGCCGTCATTTGTTTGAAAAATAATGAATCTAAGTATTGTACATTTATGATATAATCGATATTTAATATTTGAAGTTTGTTTTATTTTGTCTAGAAAACTTTCCTTGCCATTGTCTAACGAGAGACATATGTTCCTAGCGCGGTCTGTCGACAAGGTTCATATATGCATGTTTAGCGCAGTCAAATGGTTTAATGGCCTTTAGAAGTTAAGAACAATACCGTACCGTGAATAAGATAAATTGATTCAAAGTTTGTTTGCAAATAAAAGAGAAAATAAATCCAACAAAGCGAAATTCAATAAAAAAAAATCAAATAACTCTTCTATTTACATATTGCTTTATTTTTCAACTGAAATGACAAAGGCTCATATTTGTAATACTTAATTCAAAATAACAAGCTTCCCAAATGAAAAAAACTTCAAGAAGGTTTTTTTGCACAGAATGACGAAACAATTAACACTGCTACTATAATAACTTAAAAGTTCTGCCTTTCCGCCTACATCCACAACCCTATTAAAAGAAGGCTATTATAATGCAATGTATGCACAGGATATCTCTGCTTTTGTGTAAAAGTTATAGTCTATTACAATACAATCTATTACGTGTTTATTTCTTTAAACTCATTATCTATCATCAAAACTCATTGATCCGCCAAAGACTCTCATATGATATCTTGGGTTTTATTACGTACATCATCATCGTAAACACTAAAAATAGAAATCCACATTTCCTTTTACTTTATCTCATGTTGAATTATCTATTTTTCGATGTATAATCTTTTAAGGTCCTAACTCTGAGCGATTTGATTTGAATGTATCGTGCAAAATATCCTTAGCCGGTATCTTGAATGGTATTTGTAAATAGATATAGGAAATATCCGATGATGCCAACCAGCACAAAAAAAAACGCTAATAGTTTATTAAGTATCTCATATTTTCCATTTATGGCTCAACTATGTTCCTTAAATAACAAATCTATTTTCATGACTGATTGAAGAATAACTTTTAAAGCTATCTTCATAATTTAAAAAACAAAATACTTGGGGTGTTCATTATTTTTGAGCGATACAATTTGTTAACAGTGAAATAAGAAAACCTTTTTGATTTTCAGTTCGTTTATATACTGTCACCAATTAATACGATTGCCTAAAATTGCCTATGCAAAACTATGAATTATGAATATGCAATTGCCCTTCAGAAATTGTATGGTTCCATTTCCCTGTAATCAATGCACTAAATTATGAAAATAACACCTCTGGAGCATCCCACGCAATTTTCTAGACTACCATCATCAGAAACGTCTCAAATCCTAAATCTGATAACCAAGGATGCATTTTACTCGAAAACTTGGTATATTTCTACCTTTAACATTGCAATCTTATGACACGAGGTTGAATTGTAATTTATAAGAATGTTGATTATTCATAGAGAGATCTGAATTCCTTAATTTGCATCAATAAAATAAAATGATTATTTAGCCTTACAGTATATTGAAATTCTTGAAAAAACCTTTAAAGGAGTGTACCAAATTATACATTAAAGGCATTAATTATCAAATATTAAGTTCCACTGCACTCATGAAACGTGTAAATGTTTACCTTATATTGATAGGTAGATTTGGTTACTATGTCACGTACTTTTTGGATAAAATAGATCCTCAACTATGAACTAGATTTATCCCTGGGTTTGTACTTTCATGAGTAAGAAGACGGGTGCCGCCTTTGAAGCAGGAACTGCTGAACCTTGCGGAGCACCTCGGATCATCCCCGGCTATTAGGTGGGGTTCGTGTTGTCCAATCTTTAGTTTTCTGCGTTTTGTTTTGTTAAGTGTTGTTTGTCCTTTGGTCGTTTTTCATTTGTTGCCATGGCATTGTCAATTTGATTTTGTCTTATGGGTTTGAAAGTCCCTTTGGTATCTTTCGTTTGTCTTTTACACACATATATCTCATATGTCTGTAATGCATATTAACTCACATGTTTGACATATGATTGCAATGCATATTTACATACATGTATGCCACATTATGTCAATGCACATTTATCATTACGAAGAGGCGACGAAATGAGCATCTGATAAGATAAGATGCCTCCTCAAAACTATTACCATGTAATGAAATATGAAACAATCTGACAGAAATGTCATACGTATACAGCGGACAAGTTGTGCTATTAATTTTTATCTAAATATTTGTTTAAATCATCCTGTTATTTTTCTGTCTCAGTGACGTTTTCCTTAATTGATTCCTTGTCACAAAAAAATAAACCCACTTTAAATTGAAAATCAGAGGTGTTAAATTGGCAAAAGCAGAGATTTTTTATTCTTTGAATAGAAGATGTGGAGAATACGTTAATGCGGCTTCAAATTTGAGTTAACATTTCGTCTACTAAAAACTCTTCAATGACGCTCGAATGATAAAAGTAAAAAGGCATTAATGAAGTACGAAGTTGAAATATTTCTATATTACAGATATATCATCTATTTCTATATTTACAGATATATTATCAATTTCTATTTTTAGATACATATATCATCAATTTCTATTTTTAGATATATATGTTATCAACTTCTATTTTTACAGATAAAGTATCAACTTCTATTTTTACAGATAAAGTATCAATTTCTATTTTTACAGATACATAATCAATTTAATTTCTATTTTTACAGATATATAATCAATTTAATTTCTATTTTTACAGATATATATAATCAATTTAATTTCTATTTTTACAGATATATAATCCTTTTCTCTATTATCCTGATGAGTACAGTTTATTAAATGCACACGGTACTAAGTGGAAAACACAGAGGAGGGCAGTAGTTGCTGCATTTAATTCCTTACCAATACATGTTGTGAGTATTTGTATATTTTAAGCATGATAAGAATAAATTAATATTTCCGGAAGTACAAACAAAGTAGAAGACACCTTAGGGAAAACAGCAAAATCATTAATAGAGGAAAAACACACAAGACTACGGCCAAAGACGAAAAACGAAAAACGACTGAAAGATAAACAATAGTCTTCAAACAGAAAACAGAAAACTGGAGACTGAACAGCATGAACCTCACAAAAACGAATAAGGGTTGATCTGGTGTGCTTCGGAAGGTTAAGCAAAACCTGCGTCACTACATGCGTTTATATAAAATAGCATTTCACTGGGCTTATAATAGACTAATTTGAAACATGTATTATAATAATTATGGAATTTTGATAATATTTATAACACACATTGCTTACATCCACTTTATTTGAACTTTGGTGGATAGTTGTCTCATTGGCAATCATACCACATCTCCTTATTTTTATATTGATTATATATTTTGGTGTAGTGTCTTAATGCAAAGTGTGCTGATTACGATAATTTGAACGATTGAGTTACAGTAACATTTTGATCGGAGATAATGAAGCCATGAGAATATGCCGTATAAGACATAACAAATCACGGTTCTTTAGAGTCAATACAATTATTCATTGAATGCCGTTTTTCTGAAGTATTTGGTCTCAAATACCATACAAACAGTCAGAAATTTAAAGAATGACGTCTTTGGAATTTGAAACTTGTATATCATTCTTCAAATTGCTGGAATAATTGAATATAAGTACTCGGTAAAGAATTATCCAAAATCCAAAAATACAAGTTGTATTAAAACATAATATTTACTGCACTACATTGTGTTTTGTTCTTCATATACTTTTGTCGTGATCTTGTACAACATTGAATAGCATTCTTCGAAAAATATTGTAAAAGTAAATTATGAGATGAACATTTCATTTTAAAGTGAATAAATAATTAGTACATATGTATAAATTAAAAACTATGATACGTTCATATGATTTTATCATTCTTTTGTTCAAATAGGTGTCAGAACGATTATGCAAGACAACAACTGAACTCACAAATATATTGTCCGATGCTGCATTCCAGTATAAGGAAGGGTTCGATATTGGCAGGTACAATTGGATGTAATCATTAATAGACTATATGTATTTACCCAGTCGACGCACCCAGTCTCGTTCTTTTTGAGTTCATGGGATTTCCTCAGATTTTTAGCTGTTACCTTGATTTGTCTTTTCTTAATTGATTTACGATATTTGAACATTGGTTAATTAATGTCGCCTTAATTTATATGTTCTTTTACACATTTATGCTGTCATTTTTTTTAATTGTTCATTAAATTGTAGAATCATTTAAAACAATAACATGTGTCTACTTCATGCATTGATAGCATAACTAGATTGGGCACAACATTTTGAAAATGTAGGATTTTCAACTTTGTAACACATTTGGCCTTCCATATATTTTGATACGCCGCTGATTAGTCTTTAGACGAATATCGCGTTTTTGGTGTCATATATGCTTATTTAGAAGCCTGCTGTGTTTTATAACTTTTTAAAATTTAATTTCATCATACAAAACACACACTAAGCTAAAGAGCGTCTTAAGTTATGTAACTAATTTACAATGAAAAACAGAAACTACACATGTATGGTGAAAAATCTTTCCAAATCGTATACATCTAGAGAAAGAATTTAATAAAACAGGCCACTCAAAAGCAGTTGATTTTGTCTAATCTTGAATTTGAACAATAACAATAAATTGGTAACCTTCAATATTGTGAAGCCTATTCACATAGGGGAGCATTGTATTAAATCCTCAAGTCTTAGAATATACAAAATGTTTCATGCAATTGTTAATTTCTGTGTCATTTGTCCTCTTGTGGAGAGTTGTCTCATTGACAATCATTCAACATCTTCTTTTTCATATATGACCTATTAAACATGTTGAAAGCCATAATTATAGAATTTCACAAGCGGGTTTAAATGTACGATTTTAACAACTGAGAGTCCCTTTCTAAAACAAGATGTCTATCAACAGGGATCCTATCACAAGTTAGCGAAGTAATAATACCATGCTCGGATCATAAAGCCTACGACAAAAATGTTCATCACCAGTCTGAGTGCATCTAGCGCCATATAGAATAATATGCAATTATTGTACTTTGTAATAATAATAATAACAAAAGTGCTGTTTTTGCAATCAAAAATAATATACAAAGGAAGGACTAGGTCAACAATTTAGTTGTTAACAGTCTGAATGCATGATTGTATGTTTTCTCTGTTAATTTAGGCATAGTAATTTTTATGTATTTTTTCATTCCAGAATCATTGACCGATATACACTTGACGCTTTTGCAAATGCAGCATTTGATTACAAAGTTAATAGCATGAGAGATGAAAATACAACATTGTATCAATTTATGAAAGTTTTTAACGAGTCTTCCTCGGCAGACAATCCTGTTGCAGGACTAGCAAGTAAATATTAATATCAATTAAATAAGCAAAGCATGATAAGAGAGCACACAAATTAATTCCGATTTCAAGAATAGTTGAAAAAATGAAACAAATTACTTGAAAAAACAGATCTTGATTTTTTTCTTTGGCTACCATCAGATAAGACAAACTGCTTTGTCTTTCGAATCGGCAATGGCACTAGGTAGTGCCAAACTTGACTTTAAGAAACCCACTTCGAATTCATAAAAATCAGATGATAAGAGAAGAGTGATAAAGACAGAAATATCTGGTGCTGACAAATAAAACTTATATTTTCGCAGTTTCTTTTTTATAAGCAAATATACATTAGAGAAGAGAGGCGAAAGATACCAAAGGAACATTCCAACTCTTTAATGGTTAACAAAGTGATAATGCCATGGCAAAAAACGAAAAAACGTTTAATAAAAAAGAGTGATGATCAAATAGTTCCATTCATTGTCCTGCAGCAGCGCAGACAAAAATGGCCTCATTTATATGTTATACAAAATGGAAGAATGATTGATCTTTGATGATTTAATCGATACAATTATGAAAAAATGTTGCAAAATGTATAATATTTGTGGACTTAAAAATTTGAAAAAGTAAGAAAATATAACATAATTTTTTTTTAAACTTTGCAAATATAAACAAATCTTCTTATTGTATATTCCCAGGAGTTTATGATTCATTAGTACCATTTCTACAGTTATTTGATACAAAGCATAAAAGTACACATATACAGCATATTCACGAACTAAGAGAACTTATCGAGAAAAGACAAGAACAGGTATATCATCATTACTTAAATCAAATTTCTTTACAATGAAAAAGTATTGAAATCGAAGAAAGCTTTTAAATCAAATGTAATGCTGATGAGTATAAATGAAACAACTTCTTATGTGTCACCGACAGCTAAAATGATTTTGTTCAGATCCCTGTCTACATCAAATACTACGGATCCACTGACTATAGACCACTTAACGCTAATAAAATACTGATAAGAACACGTGTTACAAAAAAAACCAAGTTAGTTCATTGCTGTTATTCATGTTGACAGTTGCTTTGAAAACATCAACAATAAGCTTGTGAGACTACACCCTACATCAATATCAAGACAAACCATTTATATAATCGATCACATGAATGACAGGAACTATCGGGAGAATATCATAATTTAACAGATAAGAATAAATAATTTTTTGACAAAAAGGTTGACGTTCTACACAAAGCACTATCGTTAAATGTGTAAATAAAGTCCAATCATGGTGTAGATACATTAAAACAATATGATAACCTTTACACTTTTAGATAAAGTCTGTGAACATATATATATTGCAAAAACCTTTGTTTTTTACCAAAGGGTCAACAACCTGTCATTGATAATGTCATAGATTATCTACTCTATACTAAGATACCAGATAGCAATAATAGGAACCAACCGCGAAATTTAACAGTAGAAGAAATCGTAGCTCATTTGAATAGTATAACTGGTGGCGGATTTGGAACAACGAATGCTGCCCTTTCATTTGTACTCCATCAATTAACAGTTAATCAAGATGTTCAAGAAAAATTATTTCAAGAGATAAAACACCATTGTGGTTTATTTGTAAGTACTTGCAATGTTAATAGATATACGAAGATGTGGTATGAGTGCAAATGAGACAACTCTCCATGCAAGTCACAATTTGTAAAAGTAAATCTTTATAGGTCAAAATACGGCCTTCAACACGGAGCCTTGGCTCACACCGAACAGCAAGCTATAAACGGTCACAAAAATGACTAGTGTAAAACCATTCAAACAAGAAAAACAACGATCTAATCTATATAAAAAACGAGAAACGAGAAAACACTTATGAACAACATCAACAAACGACAACCACTAAACATCAGGTTCCTGATTTAGGTCAGGTGCAAACAAACGCAGTGGGTTTTAACGTTTTAATAGGCGCCAACCTTTACCCTACCTGAAACAATAGTGTCATCACAACATAGAAAGACACACTATAAAATATCAATTGAAATGGCTTAATTCAGTCTAAAGACATATTAACAAAAACAAGTGAACAAGACCAAAAATAATCGGTGTGACATTAACAATAGTAACACCATAGACTTTCATTCAAAAGTTCTGACCTTTTATTTTAGACGAAAAATCAATACAAAGAACTTTTTATACATTTGGTCATCCGAAGCGCTTTTCCTGAAAAAGTTTCACCAGGAGTGATCAAAACCAAAACATTTGAATTTCAAGAAAATATGAATACTTCAAAACTTTAGGAGCTCAAACGGGGCTTGAGAAGAATAGCCAGGTCCACATTAGTTACATTTAAGGTGGTACCCAACACCTTGACTAATATTAATTTGGCTCGTTTAATTTTCATAAAATTTTGACAAAATGTTTACTTTGACCCTTTGACAAAAATATAAAAATTTCAAAAAATTTGAACCAACCACTTTATCAGAAAAATTTCTTTGGTTATATAGCAGTTTGACAAACACTAATTTTGATCATTGAGAAGCTTAATATTTCCTTAACAATACAACGTAATTAAAACGTTTAGCTGATTTTTACAGAGTTATCTCCCTGTAGTGTTAGGTACCACCTTAAAAGAAACATACATACTTAGATCAGGAAATAAAGATACTCAAAGGAAAATGAAACGAAAACTCATCAAATGAAGCACTAGTCCTGTTATCGAAAATACAGAAAAGCCATTAAACATGTTAAATGCAACAAAAGCAAATATACCTTTTTATAATGTATATGATGACTTATTTATTCAATGTTCTCCAAATTAGTATTCCAAACTTTAATCATGATCAGAGTGTTTGTTCAATTGTATAGGTTTAATACATATATGTTTTCAAATATTTTAGGATAACCCAGATGTGGAAATTATTCATAAAATGAAATATTTAGACAATGTGATAAACGAAACGTTGCGAATATTACCTTGTGCACCAGGGTATGTATTTTATAAGAAAAAATGTCATATAAGATTATATAGTTGAAAAAACGGATAATTACTCTAAATATATATATCTTGTTGCCAAAAAATCAAAAATTTCAATCTCAATTGATTTTTGCCTGGTTATTAACGGAAATATTTCGTTCTTTTTATGATTTGGTAAGAACTTATAAGAATCACCTTGATAATAATGCAACCATGTGAAGACTGCCACTGCGCGAAAAGGCTGTATTCGATTAGGTTGCCTTGAACAGATCACCTTTATACATCTTCGTACAACCTTTTTCTTTATTTATACACTCAGAAAGGTTTATTCTTCACAAATTTACTTGAATTTAACGTCCAAAGTCATTAAATGTGGCTTTACTAATACTTGATGTAATAGGTATAGCCGTGCTTATATATCCTAGCTACATTGTGGGTGGTCTGACTAAAGTTCAAACTATAATAAGTTCATTAGGCTTCAGAAAAATATTCAAGCAACTATTTGATTTATAGTTACTAGTACATTAAAACATTTTTTTTATCAACGCAACCGTCGTTTTGTGTTGCCGAAAGAAGAAAGACGTGTCTGGCGAACCAAATTGTTAGGCTGGTATTTTTGTGAATTTGTATGTACCAATATATTATAAAGTGTTTATTTAGTTTCGATATTGGTGGTCCCCCGGAATTGAAAGAAGGCAGGATTTCAGCCTATTCTTGTTTTAGATGATACTTTGTAATTAAACGTGCTTTACATATTAAGCTTTGTAGTTTTAAATTAAATCAACTTTGAAAGTCATTTCAGTACAGTTGCTCTAGACTAGGTCTGCTGGTCTGTATAGTTCCCATATGATGTCATACTTCAACACATTTTATAAACTATGGAATTAATATTATTTATAGGATATTATTTTTTCTTGATTTCGTAGGAATAGGTGACCCGTGATTGTCGGTCTTCAACAAAATATAAATTACATATAGACTTGTATTAAATCTTTGCCAAATCCATTAAACGAAATAAAGGCAACAGAAGTATACCGCTGTTCAATAGGTATAAATCGATTTAACTGAAACAAATTCGGGTCTCAAACCAAACCCGAGGGAAACACATTAACTATAAGAGGAAAACAACGGAACAACATAAACACTGAACTGCTACAAAAACAAACGCCAACATACATAGAAACGGACTATTTGAAAATATAGGAAAATAAATTTTGTTTCTAAATCCTAGAAACAGGTCCTTACGAAAACAGATGAATCAACAGTATTTGTCACGTATATTCACCAATAAAAATATTGTATACAGTACATGTAGCTTTCGTGTGATTTTTTTAATTTCGAATCAGCATTGCTTTATAGGATGATACATACATTTATTAGTCCTGCTTTATTTTTCCCTTGCATATTTCTGTGTATGCCATTACTTCTAGAGTAGGTTTTCAATTCATACAAATGCTGAAGTTCTATTGGCACGAAAACAACACATGATTGTAGAATTATCTACTCCCCCGAACTAATAAATCAATACTATTTGTATATACATCGTTCGTTCTCCGTGTACACTTTTGTTTTTCAACAATCCCATTTTTTAAATTCAACAATTAGTAATTCACATTATTAAGTTTTCGTATAAATAAAAACAAATAAGCATTCAATTCTATAATCACGGATGAATTTTAACAATTCGCTGTTTCATAATATAAAGAACCATGGGTAATATCATTGTTCGTACCCCAAATGGAAACAACGTCACGTCATTGGTTGAATTTTAATTGTTTTGGACATTAAAAGCCATTCACAGCGTTTTGATGCACGATTTTGAGAATATTTTGAGAATGCATTAGATTTTGAAACGGCGTATTCACAGTGCACAATATCGTTGAACGACTCAATCGTTATTAGATAAATTATACAAACTGCTTCAAGTCAATGCAATGAACCTTGTTTTGCAGGGTGGCAAGGACGTGTACAGAAGACTGTACAATAAATGGAGTTGAATTTCGAAAGGGAATGGTTTTGAGAATAATGTTATGTCCGTTATATGCTGACGACACTATATATCCTGAACCGGAAACGTTTAAACCAGAGAGGTAAATAAACATGTTTGACATTTAGATGTACTTTTTGAAGTTGCTTTATAAATTGATACATAATAATGAAGGTTCTTGAAATTTTGACGCTACAAATTTCTTTTTAATGTTGCTCAGTCTTTAGTTTTCTATACTATGTTTTGTCTTTTGGTCTTTTTTTCTGGCGTTTTCAGTTTATTTTCAACTTGAGTTTGAATAACCCCTTTGTATCTTTCGCCTTTTTTTTACTAAACTACCAATGACTTCACTGTGCATTTTCAACAGCTCTTTTCGGAAACCACAGGAATTTACAACTAAATAATGCTGCATCGTGATTTGTTTAACTTGACACAGCAACCTACATAAGTAAAGCAGTGCATTATTATGATATTGTACACTGACGTAGTAAAGTAAAGTGGTGTTCTTGCCATTGCGTAAATGACAAACATAATTGTCACCATATTTAATTTTCGTGTACTACTAGTTGTTGATTGTCATATATTAATGTTTTTGTTGTTATTTTTTAAATGTGGTTATAATGGAATATCTTTGATTTTTTCTGTTAAATATTTTCACTTTTACTCGGAACTATTTATAGCTTGACAAAAGTCCTGTCTATTGATGAACACTGTATATTGCCCTCTAAATTAGCTTAATGTTATCGTTGTCTGGAGTTGCTGTCTCATTGATTGATTGATTGATTGGTAATTAATGACACTTCCAGAACTATTGTGTTTTTTCGTGGTTGTCAGCTTTTATTGGTGGAGGAAATCTGAAAGAACCCCCGACCTTCGGCAAGAAAACTACCCAATACTAGTCAGTTAATATTAGAGTCGAGCGCACTTGCCACGTGCAGGATTCGAACTCACGACCTTGGTGTTGACAGGATAGTGATACAGTAGTTCGACTACTTAGACGACTTGGCCACCAAGGTCCCTTTGTCTCATTGACTTTTCCATGTAAATACTTTTATTCATTTAAATATTTACAAAACTGAATTTTTCGTAATACAAAGGATTTTCTACTCCAGGAGTAGAGGAGTAGATTAGCTGTATTTGTCAAACCTTTCTGAATTTCCAAACTCTAGTGCTCTTCAACATTTTTTATTCGGGCGTCACTGGTGAGTCGTATTGAGGCGAAACGCGTGTCTAGCGTACACAGCTTTATGCCTTGTATCTATGCTGAGTTTATCTTAAGTTTGAGATATAGCATACTGTGTTTCGTCGTTCTGTCTAGATAACAGATCTGTGCTATATCATACTGTGTTTCGTCGCTTTGTCTAGATGGCAGATCTGAGCAATATCATACTGTGCTTCGTCATTTTTGTCTAGATGGCAGATCTGAGCAATATCATACTGTGTTTCGTTGTTTTGTCTAGATGGCAGATCTGAACTATATCACACTGTGTTTCGTCGTTCTGTCTAGATGACAGATCTGAACTATATCATACTGTGTTTCGTCGATTTGTCTAGATGGCAGATCTGAGCAATATCATACTGTGTTTCGTCATTTTTGTCTAGATGGCAGATCTGAGCAATATCATACTGTGTTTCGTTGTTTTGTCTAGATGGCAGATCTGAACTATATCAAACTGTGTTTCGTCGTTCTGTCTAGATGGCAGATCTGAACTATATCATACTGTGTTTCGTCGTTTTGTCTAGATAGCAGATCTGAATTATATCATACTGTGTATCGTGGTTTTGTCTAGATGGCATATCTGAGCAATATCATACTGTGTTTCGTCATTTTTGTCTAGATGGCAGATCTGAATTATATCATACTGTGTATCGTCGTTTTGTCTAGATGGCAGATCTGAACTATATCATACTGTGTATCGTCGTTTTGTCTAGATAGCAGATCTGAATTATATCATACTGTGTATCGTCGTTTTGTCTAGATGGCATATCTGAACTATATCATACTGTGTATCGTCGTTTTGTCTAGATGGCAGATCTGAACTATATCATACTGTGTTTCGTCGTTTTGTCTAGATAGCAGATCTGAACAATATCATACTGTGTTTCGTCGTTTTGTCTAGATAGCATATCTAAACTATATCATACTGTGTTTCGTCGTTCTGTCTAGATGGGATTTTTTTGTAGTATCGTTGTTAAGACTTGAAAGAGCTTGACATTGTATGTTTGGGACTGGTCTATGGTTTTTAAAATATTATGTTAACGTTTTGATGTCATTTGATTGGTTTGTTGTGTCTTTGTTTTGTTTGCCTTCTGATTAAATAAAGTATACCCTACATTTCCGTTTTCTCATACTTCTCACTATTTAGGTGTCTAATCTAGAAACTTACTGAAGTGATTGTATTGGTTTTTTTTTATGTCTTTTGTTTTGCTTATTCTGTTACAGTTGTACATAGCATGTTAATGTAAAGATTATAAAACGACAAGAATAAATGTAGAAGATGCCACATGGGGAATAGTATCTGTGTTCCTATCCGGAGCCCCTGCGATCGGCCCCGGGTTTTAGTGGGGTTCGTGTAACTAAGTCTTCTTTGTTGTGTTTTGTGAACTGTTGTTTTTCTTTTCATATGTTTTTGTTTTGTTTTGTGCCATGGCATTGTCAGTTTGATTTCCTTTGGTATCTTTCGTCTGTCTTCTTAGAGATAAGATGATTTATTACAATTGATTCATGTATGTTAAAAATAAGAATAATGAGTTTAAAGTTGGTATATATATTGCCTTGGATATTGGAGAGAAAAGATTCAGATTTCTCTTCCTACATGTAATTTTTACAAACAGCAGATTGCATTCCATTGTTAAATTTTAGATAATTATAATGACATATTGTATGTCTTTTTTAAACATTAATCCCGTATCAACCCGTGACACCATATTCACACGTGAGCTCTGTTGCAGGGATAATATTGATAGAGGAATAATAGAGTGTGTAATATATGTACACTTTATCATATGCCTAGACCAAATATTTTTTTTTTCTTTTGTGGTAAGATAAAGCTTGTGCAATCGTGACTCATATCGATAGCGTCATGGATGGCTGATAAGGAAAGATTATCATTGGTTGTATAACACATATAATTTTCTTTTATTTTCTCCTACGTTTATTATAAATCTTTTTATTAACGTATCTGCGTCGAAATATGTGTACATGTATTTACCTTTAAATGATATTCTTTTCTTTTAAGATTTGATGACGAAGAAAAAAACTCGCGCCATCCGAACAGTTTTCTACCGTTTGGACAAGGACCGCGGATCTGTCCTGGTTACAGAATAGCTTTAACTCTGATGAAAATTGCTATTGTTTTTATTTTAAGACAGTTCATACTGAAACCATGTGATAAAACTAAGGTAAAATCATGCTTACTTTTTTTATTTAAAGGTTCATTTGAGTGTCGAAATTGTCAAATATGTAAATAAATTTTACTTGTAATATTTTTTTCAATATCGGTCCAAATAAGGTATCAAGAATTCGATAGTAAACCAACTTATTTTTGACAAAAATGTAATACACACGGCTTAATAAAAAAGTAAATCACTATCACTAACAAAAGACGAGCAGACATACTCTAACATTATATAGAAAAATTACAGACAAAGCTTTTTGAATACACCCCCCCCCCCTCCCCACCAAAAATAAAACGAATAGCAATTATGTAAATACTACGATCTAGTACATAAACCAATTCTAAATACAATGAATACAGTTGTACTAATGTATATGAAAAACTCATACACGACTGGGGTCTATTGAAAGTCATTAAGTACCACGTTCATACAATATTTTCTTAAGAATATTTATTTCATCTTTTTCTATGTTTTAAAATACAATTAACAGACAAATGTTTTTAATTTCAGGACCCGTTGCCGACAGCGCTGCGACCAATGCTTGTACCAAGAGATGCTGTTTATGTCAAATTGCAACTCCGAAACAATAATATGTTGTCAACCTGAAGTGGTCCTAGCTACCACATAATGTGTAGAAAATCAATATTATTGTTCAATCCCTTTGAACCTAGTCAGTAAAGTCGCTGTGTTTCTACCACATTGTGCATTCGATGATCAACACATATTGAACAACGAAACACCCCAAAAAAAACCAATTGTTAACCTTATTAAGTAGAAACAACAAGATCTGAGTTCAATGAAATACGAACCACAATCCTGTTACAGTTTCGATAGTAGTCTAAGTGAATTACTACAATTTGTATGAATCTGCCGAATTAATGTGATACATTTTTACTGAACTGTGCATGTGTTTTTACAAGGAAATCAACATACTTATCGAGATTATTCATATATGCTTACATGAATCATTTTGTGTTTGTCATACATGACCTAACCAAGACCAGTTTACATAGTGTCTAATTTTTCATAACATTTAAAAACAATATTTCATCACAATTAATAGGTTACTCTTGTGACGTAATAACACATGATTTGATCACGTCCTCTTAAATACACACGTGTAAAGTATGGAATAATCGGGAGGAGTTTATTTCTAGCATTTTACGAGATCAAGAGAAAATTCACAAAATGTTTTTCGCATAAATTCAATCTTTAAAGAAGATCACAATCAGGAGCATTAAACCGCGAACACATTTCACCCTAAAAATTGCAACTTTTAAACTCCTGAAAAAAGACTTGTTTACAGTAACTAATGAAAATACTGTTTGGTTATTACATGTGATATTATTATGCTTTAAGATTTGTATTTGAATAATTAATGAGACTGTTCATTAGTCTTTTGTACTCTTTATTAAATGCCAATATATTTCCTTCGAAGCGCTTTCATATTCATCAAACAGTCATTGGCTGGTCTTTAAATGTGTGGCATTCCCATCAATCACTTCGAAATTAGTCCTTCGATCTGTTTAATCCTAGTAAATCAGTTCTGGATTGGCTTTAATATGTGTGATAATTATCAAACAGTCCCAATCATAATGTTATTTTGATCTCTGTACACAAGTTTGTGTATGACGGAAACTATTAATCCGGGTTTTATCTTTAATAGACTATTTTTATATTACAAACGGTACAATTTGGGGGGAAAATTAACTGTTTCATGTTTTTGTAAACGACAAAATCGACGGAAAACAGTAAATTTTCCCCTCAAATTTCACCGAATATATGCTTGATTGTACTTCTTTTGGTTGCTCTTACTTGACTTGGTACATTCTGGATATCTAAACATTATATAATTTGGAGTCATAAGTCGGTAAAATGAAAAAGTCTATTACATTGTGTGTATGCGTGAAAATCATAAATCTGTCCCGAATCCATGTTTGGTTTTGATCGCAGTTTAACTTTTGATCGTTTTGACACCCATTTATCAGTCCCGAATTGTCTGATATAGTCATGGGTTAATCTTAAGAAGTTGAGACACCAAACAATCAGTCCAGGGATTCACTTTTAGATCTGTCTGATCCCCATCAATATGTCAGGACATGATATGAAAATTTGTATACTACATTGTACCTATCGTGAAAGTCTTCACCCATTTACCACTACTGGGTCGGGTTTTTAATGTTAATGATCTGTATCATTTAGTTCCCTCAATCCAGCACTAACTTTCAGATATGTAATATTCACAGCACTACCGAAATAATCGTTTTAGATCTGTGTAGTACCGATTGTTTAGTCCTAGGTCAAGCTTTTGACAGTTAACACACCAATTTATAGTTCATAGATTGACCTTGCGATCATTATGACACCAATGTATTAGTTTTGTATACTCGGCTCAGTAGTCACTGCTTGGGTACTGACATGATCAAAAAAAAAAAAAAACCTAAATTTCCTCGTTGATCAATTAAAAAAATAATTACCAACTCCCATATGCAAATTTTACTTTAGATGAATTAAACTCTCCTTTTAATGTCTCTTTAAGTCAGATAGCTACTATCTTTTTTACGTAATTTTACATCCTTGTCTTTCAAATGTTTAGGTTCGACCGTTTCAGATGAAGGTAAATTTAGAAAATCGATTCGCACGCAAAAACATTATAAAGTATTATTTTTATTTCCTGGGTTGGTATTTGTATCTTTATTATCCTAATCATGTATTGAGGTATGAGTTTGACTGTCAATTTTTATTACATCCTCCAGATCTTACGTGTAGACGAAACGAAGGCTCTATGTACTTTTGTTTTTTTCTTATGTATTAGTTTTTTTGTACTGTATGTTTGTGTCTTTTTATTTTATTTGTATGTCTTATTTCTGTAACATTATAACACTTATGCTTCATCTGATATCATAAAGTTTATGATATTTTGAAATAACTTTCATCTTTGACCTTGCAAATTGTAATAACGATATGATATAAACCGTGTACTTTCTTGCGTTTCAATGCTTTAATTTATAGATAACCTTTGACCTAAGAGTATTTGTAATGTCGGTATGTGTATTCTGTCAGTTAATATTCTTCCTTTTGTCTTTTTATAAAGTTTTTTTCGTTATGTTTTTGTTTATATTTTAGCGATAACATGTTCTGTTGAAATAAATGTACATCTTTTTCTTTAAGGGCCGAGAGGGAGGGCGGATTTGTTATGTTACGTTTATGAACATTTAATTGTTGTTTATTAAAAATTAAATTATTTAAACTTTTACCAGTTGTTTGTACTTACTATATGACTATTCATTACGCTTAACAGCATGTGTATATTAGTCATATTCTGAGTGATCGTTCTTTCTACACAACTTCATTAAAAAACATACAATATCAATAAAGAAAATGATAGCATGTCCAATACTATGATATTATTACGTGAGTATTTCTGTATTGGCCTTGTTATTGGTCCGAGGCTTCCTGTATTGGCCTGAGGCGAAGCCGAAGGCCAATACAGCTGGCCGAGGACCAATAACAAGGCCAATACAGAAATACACGTAATAGTATCTTTATTAATAAACTACAGTCACTGTGTTACAATATATTTTTTATTTCATTTCACAAGAGAGAACATTTTTACCTTGAAGTGGAACTATCCAAATCTCAGTTTCTTTTTATAAGATGCTCTATCTAAAGATCTGGTGTCGTTTCCAGGTGTCTTCAGCATTTTCTCATCTGATGAATTTTTCTACCCTTTCCAGTCACTATAAAGTGTTACAATTTAAATTTAGACACAACACATAAATAGTAATTGGAAAGGTACTGCCATTGCATGTGTTATGCAGAAACAAACTGAAAAAATAATGTAGGAGTTGAAAATGATACAACTATCCATAAGCCAACTGACCAAAGAACGAAGATTTGCACAATTACAGGTCACCCTTCCAGAATGCATATGCCTGGTTCGGGTTTAAAAATAAATGACAGTTTACAAAACATGAGAAGCGAAAGTAAACAGTAAATCGATTTGTACCATCGTGAAATTATGAGGTCGACAAGAAATGAACTTTGTGATAATCTACTCGTTTCCCAAACCTGAAATAGTTCCATCGTCTGCTTTCAAAATGCTTTTTAAATGAATGTGACCGTCTTAAGCCTGAAATATATGCCATACTGAACGTTTCAGCATGTTTATGGTGAGTAAATAAAAACTGCGTCTTCCAAACAACTGTTTACTTTCAGTTTGTGTTTATCGTGACTTTCGATCTAAAAACTAGGGACGTTCCGAAATCCTGTATTGGCCGGATCAGAACTCGGCCAATACAGAAAAAAAATCTATATTGGCCGAGTTATTCTGTATTGGCCGAGTTGACACCTTTATATTGCATAGGCAGTTTTCATCATATTAAGTCCAATAACAGTGTAGTTAATTAATAATGTTTCATATTCAGTTTCGAGGTCTGCGAATCTTATTAGAGATTACTGTATAAAAAAACTTTTCAGCTGTTGGTTTACCGTCTCGTCGTCATTTATCTGCTTATCTTCTAATTTTTATAGGTATGCTAAATATGAAAACAACACTCTAAAATTTGCATGTGTCCAAAGCGTTTCTCTGGATTTTCCTTCATCGGGAACGCTATAAGCAGAATATTTGGAAGCCAAGGATATATAAAAACTCAAGCAGTTGACGAGCTATATGACCAAAAAATGACCTACACATAATAGAGCCTAATACATCTAAGGTCAAACTTAGTTTCTTAATATTTGTTTTACTTTTTAAATAGACAATTTACTGAGCTAATGATACCCTCGGGGACTGACAGTCCACCAGCAGCGGTACCGACCTGTTGCTGTAAAATACAAAAACAACACTTTATACATTCCATGCGTCTAACCGCTTTTCTGGTTTTACTTTCATCAGGAACGCTCAAAGCCAAATATTGTATGTAAGTAAGTAAATTTCATTTAAATTCGGCACGTATAGATTTCAAAATTGTTACGATCATTTTATTCTTGCGCAATTTCCATGAAATAGATTCCAGAATAAACAAAAAATCACATTTGAAATGTAAAAGCATTAGTTTGAAGATATAGCATTGATTTATTTCGTATTTGTATCACTTATTAAATAATAATAATAAAAAGACTCATTGACGATACAAAGTTTATAATTTTGTACGCCAGACGCGCCACTGACTCTCAAATCAAAAAAGATTGAAGGCCATATCAAGTACGAAGTTAAAGAGAATTGGTGTGTTTGAGCTTTTGATTTTGCTATTTGGTAATGGACTTTCCGTTTTGAATTTTCCTGGGAGTTCGATATTTTTGTTATTTTACTTTTATGGACTCAAAATCCAAAAGTATGGCAAACACCAGCTAAGGTAATTTATACCTGGGGCAGAAAATCTTTAGTATTTCGAACAATTCAATGTAAACGAATCATTTATAAATAAGGCCATATCAATGATATGTATACACGTGAACATTCTGAATGATAGAATTCAGCATGAGCTGCAAGGAACTCTTACAATCGACTATAACTAGTACTTAGTAATTAATAATAATAACTTATGCTTATGGAGGACTTCAGCTATCTGTCATGTACTTTATCCGTTGCTAGTCAAGTAATATCTTGAACAATGTTATTATACCTTACAAATACCTCTATGTTACAATCGTTTGGTAGTTTCCCATCAAAAATAATCATTCAACCTGCCTTTTCAAAATTGTATGCGCACTGTTTGCTCACGCATATGATATTTGATAAAACTTGATCATATTCCGTAAAATATTTAGCATGTTCCGGAATCAGATACATGTTTGTAAGTTACCACCATTCACGCACTACTTGTACTCTTCCAAATTAAAAATGATGAAAAAACATATAGCAGAACGCATGTTTGTTGTTGTTTTTTATAAGTTCACAAACAAAACTCCGTAAATGTGCTAGGGTCTGCATTTATTTATTCAAATATATTTTACTCAAATCTAGTAGTTTACGTCTACCAAAAAGTTATATCACAAAAATACTGAACACCGAGGAAAATTCAAAACGGAAAGTCCCTCGTCAAATGGCAAAATCAAAGCACAAATACATCAAATGAATGGACAACAACTGTCAAATCCTGACTTGGTATAGTCCTTTTCTAATGTAGAAAATGGTGAATTGAACCTGGTTTTATAGCGCTTAACCTCTCATTTGTATGACGGTCGCATCAAATTCTACTATATTGACAACGATGCGTGAATAAAACAAACAGACATAATAGGTGAAAATGTCAAAATAGGATAAAGCAGTCAACACCGTGTCACAATCTTAATCACAACAAAAACAAACAAATATTTAACAAAGAAGCACAAAAACTCAACTTACTTTTGTCTTCATGATTAAAATATTCAAGAAATGATTTTTAACTCCAATATAAATTTCAACAATAACTTGTCATATAGTTTTTAAGATTTATGAAGGAAAAAGAGCAGGGTTGATAAAATGAAAATAACACTTTATACATTTGTTGCGTCCGAAGCCCTTTTCTTGATCTATTGCCACATGTGAGGAATGCTCATTCCCCAAACAAACTAAAGCCATAGATGTATAAATACCAACACATATGAAGAGCTTCAAAGGATACTTCTTAAACAAACACTTTCGAGTTACGACAAAGAACGGCTGAAATCGACACGTCATGCGTTTTCCAGTTACCACCACGAATTGGTTGAACAATACGATATGTCTGTGTCTCAAATTAATTAGGTCCATATTTGATTCCAAAATAAATATTTAATAGGGTATTTTACCGATTTTTTTTTTCTATTCCGGATTGTGACATTTTGATTGAGTTTGTATTGACGCGGCGGGTGACGCTTACACTGTCCCCCAAAAAAACCCATAGCATTCAAATGAGTATTAATTATTCTAGTGTTCTCTAAATGGCCGATAATCTTGCGCTCAATCGGGTTATACTTTGGCATTTAAACGTCCAATTGCTCTCACTAAAATGTCCTAAGGTAGTTGGCATGGGCTATATGCCTTCGGGTTTATATGATCCGTTCATCCTATTTCGACTCTTCAAAATTAAAGAGTCAATCCCAAATTGAGGTAAATTATATGGCCTTCCAAATACCGTTTCGATTCCTAGCATCACTGAAGAGACATTAATTGTCGAAATCCGGATATGGTGTACAAATTTGTGCACCTCATGTTTGCGGAATACCATCTTTTCCGCAAGTTTTTTTGTGTTTTCTATTTGGTATTAGATCAAAATTCAGATCCATTTTGTTACATCTGTGATCCGTTTATTTGGCAATCGCCATGGCAGTCAGCAGGGTTTAAGAACATCCGTTGTTCTACCTTCTAGTCAAATGCGTTTTGTTAAAATATACTTTTTCACTTTTTGGTCTTTTTGAAAATGTTGTTTGTGCTGTATTTAGACCCCTCTACCAAGAAATTTGTTTTTGCATGCACACGTATAAAAATTGCGGTTTTTATCCAACGCAATCATAGGTTTGAACTTTGTTTTCAATTTAGACTTGTTTATATTTTTTTCGTTTGGGCTTGTATTATATTTGCCTTCGGGTTTATGTGATCCGTTCATCCTATTTCGACTCTTCAAAATTAAAGAGTCAATCCCAAATTGAGGTAAATTATATGGCCTTCCAATACCGTTTCGATTCCTAACATCACTGAAGAGACATTAATTGTCGAAATCCGGATATGATGTACAAATCTTTGCACCTCATGTTTGCGGTATACCATCTTTTCCGCAAGTTTTTGTTTTTTCTATTTGGTATTAGATTAAAATTAAGATCCATTTTGTTACATCTGTGATCCGTTTATTTGGCAATCGCCATGGCAGTCAGCAGGGTTTAAGAACATCCGTTGTTCGACCTGCTAGTCAAATGCGTTTTGTTAAAATATACTTTTTCACTTTTTGGTCTTTTTGAAAATGTTGTTTGTGCTGTATTTAACCCCTCTACCAAGAAATTTGTTTTTGCATGCACACGTATAAAAATTGCGGTTTTTATCCAACGCAATCATAGGTTTGAACGTTGTTTTCAATTTAGACTTGTTTATATTTTTTCGTTTGGGCTTGTATTATATTTGCCTTCGGGTTTATATGATCCGTTCATCCTATTTCGACTCTTCAAAATTAAAGAGTCAATCCCAAATTTAGTTAAATTATATGGCCTTCCAAATACCGTTTCGATTCCTAGCATCACTGAAGAGACATTAATTGTCGAAATCCGGATATGGTGTACAAATTTTTGCACATCATGTTT